GTTATCATGACATATGTAGTACACATGTCAAACTAAAATATTAAAATTAATTTAGTTTACTCAATTCTATTGATGCTTTATGAACAACTTGCTTGTTTCATTTGTTGGAACTTAAACTGGGCATCATATGGCAGGCTGCCAATGAAATGCTTTAGTTTTAATCTTCAATATTCAATTTAATATCCTGAAAATTATTTTAATTGGGACAAAAGTGTGATAGTTAAACAGTTAAAAGGAATTTATTAATAAAAAAAAATTTTTTTAAGCTCTAAAGAGCCTTTTTTTAAACTAACAGTAATTATGTTAAGAATATTTTATAATAAGTTCTCTATTGAATTAATTACAACAAGGAATGCATAATTAGAATACATAGAAGAAAAATTTTCAGTAAATAAAATTATTACTTATAATTATTATCATATCAAAATCATAACAGTAGTCCTTGTTTTCGTAGAATGGAAGATGGAAGTGAAATATAAAACATAAATTCCCATAAATGGAAAGACTATTTTAAAGCAGACAGTTATGGTAAGCATTCTTAAAATTAATATTTTATGGCATGAACTTAGCTTTATTTATAAAAAAAATTATTTAGAAAATCATAATGAAATTATCCTTATATGAATTATGTATGAAATTCTGAAGTAATTATAATTCAGATTTGATACTACTGGAGAATACTTATGTAGAAAAACAAAAACTCAAGTTATGTAATGGAAATGAATGCAACATCAATCAAGAATAAATAAATAAAACAAAAAATGTAATATAAATTTTTAAAAAATAAATTAATTTATTATCATACTGTGTGTATGTAATTATATAGTAGATAGATATATAAAAAATGCAACTAACTTGTAATGTTATACTATGTGCAAGTTCTAATATTTAAAGATTTATCCCAGTTTATTACAGTTATCAAATGAAATAAAGAACTGATTTCATAATTTGTAACTGCTTTGCATCAAATATCTTCCTTATTTAGATAATGATACAAAATGTTCAATTTCAGAAAATAATGAATTTTTTTGTTGAATTTAAAATTAATTCAGTTTTGAATATTACAGGAAACTTTCAATGATTCTTCTAATTTGCATTAATATATTAATTAATTTTAAGCTTGAAATGTGTTTGCATTTATGTTAATTTCATAAAAAGTTGACTTTTCATTCCATCATCAAATGTCTTGCCGTTATGTTTAAAAGGTAAGAACCTACTGCTCGCAAACTAAAAAATTCTTCAGAAATTTCAAAAATTAAGTGTGTTGCTTTAAAAATGTCTTAATATGTTTGAAATTTCTTCTGCAAATGAAGCATTTACAATTCTTACTTTGAAATGTATTATTTTATGTTTAATTCTGATTATAAAGCAAAATACTTGTTTCTACTATGCAATAGCTTCATGCTTCCCAAACGATGTGACAAATCGTTTGGGATATGATGTGACACAAAATTTTTAACGCAGAAATCCTGATTACGGAGCACCAGAAGGTTAGGCTGGTAATGACCAAGTAATACTTTTACATAATTTCATGGAAAATTCATGTACTGACGGCACAGCTGCAAAAGGAAGGGTCTGAATGGATAAGAAAACAAAATTCAAATTTGCGAAGATGTGGCAAAATATGGTTCTTCTGAAATGTTTAATCACTGTTGCAGTTGAAAAATGAACTGGAATTTGGATATCAGTATCTGCAAATCTGAGAGAAAGCATTACTTATATTTTTATTTTGAATAAACATAGATAAAGAAATACGAGTTAGTTCAAAATCCATTTGCGTCTTCATTAGATAACATGGCCTTCCATTCGTGTGAAAGAAAATGAGAAAAAATTTGATACTTTTGAAGTTGAGTTTAAAAATAATCATTACCTCAATTCTTGATAACTGCAAAAAGGAAATTTCCATCCATTGGCTACAGGCATTCTTTTATCATTTGCAATTATATACATTTCTGAAAAAGTTCTCTTCTATGCTTCTATTGCTAATCAAGATTATTATTATTAAAAAGACTATCATTGATCACATATTACATCTAGCTCTTTCAGCCATTATAAGGTATTTTCTACCTCCTTTCCGCATGCCTTCGTGGTGTTACAGTTAGCACACTCAGCACATATTCGAGAGATCCAGGTGGGACTCGGACCATTCGGACCATCGGCATTTCTCATGTCTTCCTGAATCAAAAAATCCTAATAAGACTCTACAATGGCAGCCGAACTAAAAGATGGTGGATGATGATTCTTCACCAAGATTTGGAAACGGGTCACCTAATTAACAGTCGCCCTTTAAAAGGGGGAGTATATAAGGCATTTTTCTCCCTCCTTTCTGCATTCCTTTGTGGTGTAAGGTAGAACACACGACACGTATTCAAGAGGTCCAGATTCGAGCCCGACAAGGGCATTGCTCCTTTTTCATGTACTCCTGCTTCAAAATAACCTAATGACTCTACATCAGTAATTCTCAATTGGTGGTACACAAAGAAACAAAGCATTTTTAACTATTACATTCAAAAATCTCGTAACAAACAACAACTGATAGAAATTTTCTGCGACCTAACTCACACTGAAGAAAGATTTCAAAAATAACACGCATACTAACTTTAGGCTGAACTGAAAAAAATACCTAATGTGTTTCAGTAAAGGCATTTCAAATAAAGCTATTAAATTTGCATTCCCTTTTTGTGTGAACACTTATTTCCTTCCACATAAGATTTGGAAAAAAAAAGTACAGACTGAAATCCTAATTTCCGGTTAAAGCTACCTAAAATATGACCAGACATAAAGAAATTGATCTCTCTTAAACGGGCCCAAATTTCGCAATTTATTATTATAACTTAAATTTTGATAATTAAAATGGTAACCAATTCTTAATAGGTTGTGCAAATGGCAAAATATATTTTTTTTAATATTTCTATTGAGAAACTGAAAAATAATCATTGTAAAATGTAGTGGTGGTAGCAAAGTTTTTCAATTTTTGTTTAGATTGTTCACGCTAGGCAAAAGGTTGAGCTGTTCTACACCATAAACCTATATATCAAAAGATTCTGTTCACAGGAATGAGCTTAATTATCTCGCTGAAATAATAAGATACAACTAACCATGTGAAAAAAATTGCAAATATTTATATTGATACTTAAAATAGTAATTATTAGCATAATTCTTATCTGAATAATTTTAACTTGATATAATTTTATAAGATAAATGTTCCAAATTTAATCACAGTTTTTTAGTCAGTCAAACTGGACAGTTCATAGATGTGATGTTCTAAATTTAATCATAGTTTTTACTCAAATTGGACAATTTAGTTCTGGAATGTGTTTCAGTAAAAAATTTAAGTAATAAAAATATGTTTTGAAAGATCATGTGCATATACTTTGTGTCTTTCTATTTGCCTATAACAAAAATGAATAATTGGATACATGCAAGATGCTTTATTCTTTCATAACACTGTCATGATTGAGAAACATTTTACTGTACAATTTCCCTCATTGATTTTGTATAATGCTGATAACATTTTTTAATACCTGCTGTATTTCTTAAGTTCTCATACAGTTTTAATTTACCAGGCAGAACTTCAAAACACAAAAAAAGGTTAGCTTTCTTAATATTGCTCTTAAATTCCTGAACATATTTTTAAAAGCATAAAATTTCATAAGTATCAAACTAGTGTGAAGCTATTTTAAAATTCACGTAGTTTAATTGCACTAAAATTGGATGTTTTTAAATTATTAAAATCACAGTTTACAATAATGACCATGACTTTTAAGTACTTTTTTTTTTACCAAAATTGTTTTAAATAATAAAAGACTAGACCAATATGACTGTAAACTGCTGCTAAGTAATAAATTTTGTTACTTCTTGTTTTCCTTGCAACAATAAGCAAAATAATCCATGAGAATGATATGATGAAGCATTTGCAGCTTTGTTTCAATAGTAATTTTAAATGTTTTGTGTTTAATTAAGTTAAAATCCTTTCAAAAGTTTATATTACTGTTGATTATTTGAAGATTGTTAAGGATATGCTATGAAAATTGTTTTATTCAAAATTATTTCAGAAAATCCAAATTTTGACAAAATAAATTACATTTTATGAGTAACTTAATTTACCAACTTATACTGTTAACTTGAGTAAAATGTTCCATTTAAATGAAAGTATTGTTAGTGATCTGAGAAACACTTTACATTATTCATTTATCCTTTTTAAATATATGTACAAAAATAATTAGTGTGTTTCAGTATATTTGCAACATCTATTTTCTCCACTTACATCATTTTGTACATACCACAGAACTATAAAGCAGTGAAATTACTTTTGCATTCTCAGATATACATGTCTTCTCCAAATTAACTGAAGTAGAATAATGTTTAGTCTTACAATCATTTTGATACATTCAAATTATTTACTTCCTTTCTAGATGTTTTATTTTGTTAAACCTTAAAGTATGTAAGTAAATAACAAATAGGTGACTTCAGAATTGTATACTTTTTTTTTCATTTTTATAAGTAATACTGTATGTACCTTACTATGTCTTCCTTCTACAAAAGCCTACTAATGTATTATTCATGCTGTACTTGTTAATTCAATAAGGAAATGTTTTATAGTGCATGATTAAATTGATCACTTAATTATAATTTCAAATTTTAGTACTTCTTAAGAATGAATGAATATTACTTTTCCCTAAATTTTGCATAAAATTTGATAAATTTCAAAAACTAAAAAATGAAATTTTACTAATCACATAATAAACATATGTACGTTAGGCCAATAGTACATATCCTCCTTATGCAGTGCCTGAGCATCAGCTTCAACCTGTTTAACTACATAAGAATACAAAAGAATCACTGAATTTTATTACATTACTTACCTGAGATCCAAACCACCTTATGTTACAATACTCACCTGATATCCTGTAAAGTAATGACCCTAGAAAAAAACATTTCAAAAACCATTTTTCTAATGTAATACTTATCTAGCAAAAAAGAATAAAGTGGAAAACAAATTTCACCATTCTAAATAATTTCTTTATTTTAATTTTTAAATTTTATACTTTACAATTTCCATACATTTGTACAATATCTGGCAAGCCAGAAAATATCACAAAACCATTTGTACGTAAATCTACTTTACTAATAACAAATTAAATGTCTGATTTAAGCCATTTTATAAATGCTCCAGGAACATAAGACCCCAGCTGTCGTTGCAAGCACGACATAAAAAAGTACAAAATACATACTTAGGATCCATTTTTGAAGATATATTTTTCTTATTATACATTTGTTCATTAAGCAAGAAAAGGAAAGTTGCATACTATTTTCTTTAACAAGAATACATTTGAAGTTCAAAAACGTGTAAAAAAAAAAATTTGTTCAAGGAACCCTTTCCATTTGCTTCTATAAATAATAACTAATGACAGAATAACTTACAAAGCTTTCCATGCAAATGCACAGTTTCTTTAAAAGAAATGCAATTATGAACCGGAAAACAAGCTTTTTTCACACATTTCAAATATATACACAATATACATATACTGAAGAAAAATGCATCTGTGAAGCATAATTTTAGATAAAAGGTTGTACAGATTCAATGAGGTTAACTCAATTAACCATGAAAATAGTTTAAAACTTAAATTTCTTCATTCCAGAAAAAAGGCAAACAATAAAAATGATGAAAGAGAAAATACTATAAATTTAAATTGCTAGTTAATTAAAAATTATTAAGATTAGAAATTTAAATTACAAAAATTAAAAATTTAAGTATTAAATAAAAAATTTTACATTCATTTTTATAAAATGTTTCACTATTATCAATTACTTAAGACTTCAATTAAAAATTTTATGGAACTTTTAGTTAATGCCAATTCAATATCAATTTTAAAAAATATACAATATTAACTCTATGTTACATTAAACTGGAATAAAAATTAATGCTTCACAACTGTTGAATTTCATTTTTCATTCAGTCATCTGTTTTAAGTAGGTTTTCCAAGAAATCTTGGTTAAATGACCACTGACATCTGAGATCTTAGTGACAAGGGAAAACGATACAACAGCTATTAAAATTCCACAGATTAAAAAGACTAGTTTATGCAAATGGGCCAGTGGCCACACCTTTATACAAATAGCAATATCATCAAAAGTCTCTCAGTTCACTGATGTTGCTGAGTGCTCATTTGTAGTTAACAGGATACAGGTCTGTTTGCACTGATGACGTCAGCAATGATGGGAATTTTTTCTGTTTGATTGACCTAAAAAAAAAAAAAAGAAAGAGATAAGTACACAGAAAGACCAGCATTAAAAATAACAGTCAATTATTGCTAAAAAGTATCATATTTTATCCTGAGCATTTCATTAAAAAAGAACTGCCAACAAATTTTAATTCTTTTATTCTCTAACTGGTATCTTGATACATCCAAGTACGTTGGCTGAAAACACCCAATGGATAAAAATGATTATGAATGCTGGCTAGCCACTTTCAACCATAGGGTGGAAAAACAAATCATCCAGAAAAAAGTCATCCAGACATTATCATTACAATATATCCACACTTAAAATAAATATGTAAATAAGTCAGCTTAGGGAAAATCAAAACTGTTTGTAGTCCATGTAATTGCCATATGGCTAATGCACAATTTAACATGCAAATACTTTCCCAAATTCAAAAAAAGTACTTATATTTTCTTTGAGATATTTTAAAGAGGTACAGATTATAAAATCTAACTGCGCAAATTTCAAAATGAATTTAAAACAAAATCAGATCAAGACAAGTGAGACAACAGCTGGTTCTCAAATATCTGGGAAAATAAAAAAACATCAACATTTTTACTTCTTCGTTCTATATTTAGAATCAATAAATATATCCAAAATGACAAGCTTCCGGAGGGAACTAGAGGGGAATAGCAAACTGGGATCAGTGCCAAAATACTGCACACACACAAAAAACAAAAAAACAAAAAAAATCCTTGAATTTCTTTACGTTCTTTCAGCTGAGTCATCGCACACCTGGCGTTAAGGTTCAAGGAATGCTTTTTAAAACATACAATAAGGTTGATTGATACAGAGAAGATATTTTACATTTGGTATATCGTTCCTTACGTTAAAATAAAATAAACAGTAGTTAAAAGTAGATTCGTGTGCTTTTTTATCTGCAATCAAATGCAGCACAGGTTATTTTTTAGTCCTTTAATTAATTTCATGTGTTAACTAGATACATATAACACAAGCTTTTCCATAAAAAAAAATTCCTTCACAAACTAATTTTTTTATACATTATTACAGTTAAAACGAATTTAAAAAAAAATTACATGGGTAAAGTACAATAACGGATTTATTTATATATTTTAAACGCAATGCATTAAAAAAATTGGCTAAAAATAAAACTCTATAAATTTCGCTTGGATAATCTGGAAAATGTAATATGGAATATTTTTAATAGAACAGTGAATTTATAATAAACATGTCCTTAACAAAAACGGCCAAGCTTTTTTAATGTGTTTCTTCTAAAAAATAAAAAAGTGTGCTGCCTGTTTGCAAAACTTCACGCACATGTGCCATTGTACATAGCAGATGCTCTTAAAAATTGGAGACAAAACTAAATGACAAGGACGCAGATGTAGTCAATGTTAAGTAAAGATGTTAATCAATTGGGGGAAGTTTCCATAACAGAAGCTTTTGAGCAACAAAAGAAGCTGGCTACTAAACGTGATGCAGATGTGGTCACATCTGCCAGAGATTTCGGAGAGGGTCCAACGAACATTTTCATTATAAATGCGGGCTCCATCCGTATCCAGTGGGAAGAGTTTTATTAAATTTAACCATCTGCACCACAACACACCAGATGGCGCTACTTTGAACGGAAGAGCCGTCTGCTCCAGGCAGGAAATTTATCGATTAACAAATTAAGCTAAGTGGCACGTATTTACGTTTAAATCGCATTCGAACATACCGACTTCGCTATTAACATATCCCCATTGATCATATTTCAGAACTATTGTTTATCTAAATCGTTTTTAGTGATACTAAGCTATCTAATTATTTATAAAAATACACAATTAAAATGATTTTAAAAAGTGTTCTTTACCTTCTATCCATTAAATAAAATCATTCTGTGAGTTATTTCGTGGTGTTTAACGTTTTAGAATTTCAGTTTCTCTAATTACATTATTAAACCATTTAGAGAAATAGCTTCTAAATCTAGTACACATGCTGCGTTTAACATCTAGAATTTCCGTTTTTCTAATTACATTAGTAGACCATCTAAAAAAATACATATCACTAGCTTTTAAATCCAGTACATAAATGTTTTAATTTGATGGAAAGTTCTAAAAATCAAACTATTCCCTACGCACAATATTTAAAATAACCTTCTATACAGAATTTAAAAAAAAAAAATCCATCCAGAAACTAAATTTATATAATCACTCATTCATTTAATTTACAAATAAAATCTAACTTGAGATATCACCAAATGTCAATTTACATTACAAAAATTCTGAATTAATTAATTACGTTATGCAATTTTTTTAAGAGAGAGATCAATTAAAATATTTCTCGACTTATTCTCTATCTTCTATTTCTCGAGATTAATTAGAAGCGTAAACATTTTCTTATTCAAATCAACTCCATGCTTACATAATGATAAAAATCGGTTACTGAGGAATTTACAGTTCCAACAACAAAGCAGAACGTAATCAAATTTGTAACAGTAAAACAAAATTAAGTATGCCACACAAACTTAATGCAAGATCAGATGTACTTTTTAGTCGCAATACACATTCAAATGAACTACTATACTAGTTTCAAAATTAACCAGAGAATCCATTCACAAATCCTTCTGTTAATTAGTCGCAAGCAATACAGCTTACTGAAATTCAAAATAAAAAATACACGAAATTTATTTTATAAATTGACATCGCTAAATTCTTATACTGTTCTCTTGGTCAGAAGCAAGAAGTCAGTTTTCATGGCAATTTTCGAACGAAAACGATTTTGTTAGCAGCATAACACATTGCAAAATGCTGCCCTATAACACATTCAATCATACGCACATTACAAAATTTGGAATATTCAAATTAACATTATGTCCTAAGAAAATATATAACTAGCTCAGATTTCAAATTTTTGAAACAGATACTTTCGATTTTGTAAGCACATTCGATCAGCGGTTAAACTGCTTGCATTAAACATTGCCTGTTAATGATTTAAGGACTTATAATGAAATTTAAATGAAAAACTTACTTCTTGAGCTGCACAGGTATTTATTGCCGGCGATAGGACTCCAAGAGGTTGTCTGTTAGGACTCATAGCCGTCAACACTGTAGTATTAGGCCTAGCAGCAGCAGCAGGATGAGTTTCCAGAGCTATTTGCAAGTCCAAAATATAGTCAATCACGTACTGGATTATTTCCAATTTAGAAAGCTTCTTATTCCTCGGCATATTGGGCACGAGATTTTTTAACTTTAACAGTAAGGATTGCATTTCCTCATGTGTGACGTCGCGATCCTTTGTCGTACGGCCTTTAAGGATTTTGGATTCAACTTGCTTGGAAGCCATTTGGATATCACACTGCGCCTTCATGTTTACAGATCGACACGGAAATGATGACGGAGATGGAAGATTGCAATTACCAGTAACAGACGATCGTGTAATCAAACCAGTTAAGCGTAGCCAGCAGAGAAGAGAAGCAAAGCACGGTATTAGTGTATCCAAACGATATTAAAAGAGAGAAACATCATCAGAGAGAATTCTGGTGCCGTTCCGCAAGATTTCGGTGTTTTATAGACTGCGAAGATGGAGGCGGAGTTAAACACGTCACTTTTCTATCGTCCAATCAGAGTCGCTTTCTGTCACATCTCTTGAATAGCCGACAAGCCAATAGAAATCGTCCGGGCAGTTGCATGCGTCAATCAAATTAGATCCTCAGAAGCCAAGAAAGTTTTTCTCAAGCTCCTTCTTTTTGCTAAACACAGCTGTTTCTTATGCTGGGCAGCTGGCGTATCATTGCAGTATGTTGTTGTTGTGCTACCGTCGTGTATTAATCGACGATGTTGCATGGTTAGTTGCGTGGGAAAGATTGCAAGAGAGCGAATTTTGCAGGTGTGCTCCGGAATCTTGTACACCTGGTCACGTCCAGCAACACTTATAACTTACTCTTAAATGAGTTCGCACTAAGATAATATCACAGCAGTAAATTAAAAAATCACAAACAGTCGTGGGAAAACGACCTGCAAATCTTAACCGGCTCAGTGAGTTTCCAAAATTTTAATGTGCATTACATTGAGACCGAGAGCTATATCCCTTTTTTTTTTAAAAAAAAATATTTAGTTATTTTTGTTTTAATTCACATTGCAAAAATTATTTCGAATTAAAATAAATATTGACTGTATACTTACGAGTGCACAATTTTTTTTATGCAGAATGAACATCAGAATTCTAAAATAAGAATTGCAAATAAAGGTTGTTTCATCCATTAATTCCATTTTATCAAAATGTAAAATTTGCATTTCTAGAAATTGTATATACATGTTATGAAAAATTGCATTCATTAAAAGTAGTGATAGGTTTATTTTTTATATATTATATAAATTATCATATTATTAACTGTATAAAAATTGAATAACTATTTCGAATGCCAAGGACTTATACTTTTTTTCCTTTTTTTTTTTAGCCCAAAGGGCATTAGCCCAGAAGGGCTATTAATTTCGTTTTCTCATTTAGCTTGGATTCAGTATAAAAGACGAATCATTTTTCAAATTGTTGCCAACAAATATTAGCGCCCTGCGCTATATTGAAAGGAATTAAAAAGTGAAGAATGAATTGTACGTATATTTCTCGCATTGTGATAAAACAACGGTACCTAGAGCCCTCCAATTTTGAATAACGCAATCCTCCACCGAATATGGGCATCTGAAAGCCCTAATTTGACATTTGTTTCGTTATCGATTTCATATTTTGTAATACTTTAATGGATTTTTGATTAACAACTTTAAAAAAAAAAAAAAACTTTTTTATCTCTAGCGCGGCCAGGCCGACTATCCGAAATTCTAAAGATATGCTCTATTAATTTTTTTGCGATATTGCTGTTGAATTGAATTTTATGGTTTAATTGCGAAAAACATGATATCTAATAAATAAAGGTAAGACACAAAACGTTAAAACACGCTCCCTTTGGGCGTAATATAAAATCGGAAAGCTTTCAATATATATATATATTTTCTTTTCTTCTTTTTTTTTTTAAATTTCATATTTTGTAAAACTTCAATAAATTTTTGATTAAAACACTCAACGTCTTCAAAGCAAGTAATGGCAACACTGTACAGAGAAAAAAACATTTTTATCTCCAGCGCGCGAGACTGTGTATCGAAAATTCTAAAGATATGTAGTTTTTAAGTATTTTGTGATATTGCTGTTGAATTTTATGGTTTAAGTGCGAAGAACATGATATTTAATAAATTAAGACGTTAAAAAACGCCCCTTTGGGAGCAATGTAAAATCTGAAAGCTTTCAGATTTTTTTTATTTAATTTTAAAAGAATACAATTACAAAACTAAAGTATGTCCTGAAGTTTACTGGGTGAGATTATTTAAATTTTTGAATAAAAAATTATTCTCTTAATATTTTTTTTTTTTTTTTTTTTTAGCCAGTAGGAATAAAGGACTTCGGTTTGAACTTCAAATTTAAGCGACATTGATCTTTAGTTTGGGACTAGTTTTGCAGGAAGCCTATTTCATACTAACTCTGAGTATTGCCTTATTTTAAAGAAAACTATTTTTGCAAAATGAAGAAGAGAAACATTGGCTATATTCCCTCGAAATGTTCAAATGAAACTCCTGTATAAAATCACCATCATTTTAAAGCTGAATATTTTAAACCTTTTATGTTTCCATATGGAGTGTCTAAAAAAATATCTAACATCTATAAAAGAGTTAAGAATATGATAGGAGGAGAAAAAAAAAATCTGAAAGCTTTAAGATTTGACATTTGTTTCGTTATCAATTTCATATTTTGTAATACTTTAACAGATTTTTGATTAAGGGCAAAGGGCCCTTTTTTTAACGTTTTGTGTGTTACTTTTATTTATTAAATATCATGTTCTTCGCATTTAAACGATAAAATTCAGTTCAATAGCAATATCCCAAAATAATTTTAAAAAGGAGCATATCTTTTAGTATTTCCGATACACAGTCTCGCGCGCTGAAGATTTTTTTTTTTTTTTTTTTTTTTTTTTTTTACCCCATACAGTGTTACCATTGCTTGTTTTGAAATCGTTGAGTTTGTTAATCAAAAATTCGTTAACGTTTTACAAAATATGAAAGAGATAATAAAACAAAAACCAAATTTGGGCTTCTAGATGCCCATAGTCGGGTGGAAACGTAATTTATTCAAAATTTGATCTCTCTATGTGTCGTTGTTTGATCACAATGCGAGAAACATAATTATATTTACGCAGATTCTTCATTATTTTTTTTTTTAATATAATACAGGGCTCTAAGATTCAGTGGCAACAATTTGAAAGGTGAATTAACGTTTATAATGAACCAACGCAAGATGCCAAAACGAAATTAATAATCCTTCTCGGCAAATTGCCCCTTTGGACCACCAAAAAAAAAATCTGATGTGTATACCACATGACTTCCTTGTACGGAATATTAAATTATACGCATTTTTTTTTGCATTTTATTTAAACTATTAGATTGAATTAAACCTACTTCGCCGACAGCGCAAAACCACAATAGAATAAATGCATTCTTTAAAATTCACTTTGTTACCATAGCGACACACTGGCGCTAGGTTTACTTAACAGTATTATATTTCATTCATATTATAACTCAGAAGGCACAAAAGTATAATCAATTTAAAGAATTATCTAATCGTTGCCACATGGTTCTATTCAAATACTATAATAAAGCTAGAACTATGTATAAAAAAATTAAGCAAACAAAACAAAAAAAAAAGAACAGTTTTTCACAGACGATTGAGTATTTCTCATTCAATTAATTCAGTTCTCACTTCGGGAGAAGGCAAAAATACATAAAAACTCAAAAAATATCTATATTAAAAATGACGAAGTAAACATCAAACGCTTATTTCCTCGAAAAAATTCCAGAAAGAATTAAGCATGATTTAATTGGCAATAATAAATGAAGGCGTTATCTTTATTGTTGCGAAGCTAAGTTTCTCTAGATTGGCAACAAATCCACTAGTCTCCTGTTTCAAATGTAAACATCAATGGCCGCCATTAAAAACAGGCTTAGCGGCAATTAAACAACTTTAAAATGCTGATAATTCTAAAAATATTGCACACAGATTTACTAAAGGCACACAGATTACTCCTTAACAGGAAGATAAAAACAACATAATTCAATCATTTTTAAAGCAAAAAATGTACAATTTACCAACATATAAGAGTAAAGAAACCGAGATCACTGAGCCGAGTAATAGAGTGGATATATAATAAATATATTTATATACGTTTGGTGCGGCCGATTGCAACCAAAATACGAGGTGCACATCTACATGTTATAGCAGTCCTATATACAAAATTTCAACGTTCTGAGGCTACTCGTTTTTGAGTTATGCGAGATACGTACGTACATACTACTTTTCTACTTTACGTACGCACGTACGTATATACGTTCGTACAGACGCCAAGAAAAATTGTCTTCAGAATTTATTTTAAAGCAGTTTTATAATTTTTTTTGAAGGAAAAGTGTATTTTATTCTGTCCTTACGTACAGATATCACGCAAAAACATCGTTAAATGCGATAGCGGTCAAAATGGATATTTTCGTTGAAATATGCTGCCTGAAACTTTTCGCGATTACATACTTCCTTTTAATTCGTACAGGAAGTAAAAGTAAAAAAAAAAAAAAAAAAGAA